CCTTCTTCGCGGAGCGCTGGGGCGGCGCCTGCGACGCTGGGCGAATCGGAAGACGCAGCGGCCTCCGACGCGATCTCCGCGCCATCGGCGTCCTCGAAGTCTGTCATGGCCCCTAGCGCTAGAGTCGTCGCCACCGGGCTCTCGTCTGCCAGCGCAGCGGAGGCCGCCTCCAACTCAGAGGCAACCGACCCAGCCTTTTCGAACTGCGTCCAAAAGGCAAGCGTGGGAGCGTTCGCGCGCTCGACGATGGCCGCCTTGCTCCTCGACTTGGCCTTGGCCTTGCCCTTCGCCTTGGGCGCGGGCGCCACGGCTGGCGGTGGCATCGGCGCCAGTCGCGTCGACATCAGCGCCGCGAGGGACGGGGGGGGGGGGGCGTGGAAGGGGGGGGGGGGGCGCTGCCTCGCTTGCAAGACGGCTGCGGATGGAGGGGGTGAGATGAGGAGGGGGAGAAGGAGGGCGGATGGGGAGGAACGGAGGAGGAGGATCGGAGGAGGAACGAACGGAGGAGCAGGGGCATGAACGAGGAGGTGGAGAAACGATGGTGACGATGGTGGCGATGATGATAATGATGATGATGATGATGATGATGATGATGATGATGATGATGATGATGATGATGATGATGATGATGATGCTGATGACGATGACGATGACGATGATGATGATGATGATGATGGTGGTGGTGGTGGTGGTGGTGATGATGATGATGATGATGATGATGATTATGAGGAGGAGGAGGAGGAGGAGGAGGAGGAGGAGGAGGAGGAGGAGGAGGAGGAGGAGGAGGAGGGGGGTGATGATGGTGATGAGCGGGTGATTCGCTACAGCGGCTGAAACATGTAAAAACTCATACATTGTGGTATTCAGAATATGCAATCGATAACAGTTCGATACCGTGTTATCGGGATTTGCGCTAACGCGCGATAGCGTCCGATAGCGGTTGCCGAGAAAATTCCGATGGCATGTTGCGGGTGCCAGTTTCGACCCCGATGACCGTTATCGGCGTTGTCGGGCGTTATCGGGCGTTCTTTCGGTGTTACCGGCTGTGGCGATAACGCCGATGACGCGGCGTTATCGGCGTTGTCGGCTGTTGGCGGGTTTTCCGATAACACCGTTCTCGAACCGTTATCGGTCGTTATCAGTTGTTGTCGGCCGTATCCCCGAGTAGCGGATGAAGCGCCGGGTGGCGGATGATCCGCCGATCAGCGGGCAAACCGTTCTTGGCGACGATCCGATATGACGTGCGCGCCGACGGTGGCGCGAAGGTCTGCTGGCAAATCCAGCGATGGCTCGCGGTCGGCGAAGCGCGCGCGGACGCGCGGTCGGCCATGCGCCCGACGCGAGGCGCGGGCGCGCGCTGCCAACGCCTAGGCGGCTCACCAGCAAACTCTCGACTAGCGCAGGTTGAGCGCGCGCGGAGGCTGAGCGTGCGACTCGATCACCTCGACGCACTGCGGGGGGCACGTGACCTCCTCGTTGAAAGCCCGAGACGCTTTGGCGCACAGGTTCGCCGCGCTCACCGCCGAGACCTCGGCGCGCTTCAGCGAGTCGACGCAGGCGCGCAGCTGCGTCTCTGAGAGCGTGATCCGACCCGTGCCAGCGCCCGTCGGCGGCGTGGGGATCTCCATTGCGCGCTCTTCGGCGTGCCGCTGCAGAGACTTGCGCTTCTTGTCAGCCTCCCGCTTGGCGCGGTCGATCTCCCACTGCTTCTTGTCGATTTCCCAGAACTCGATCAGACTACGATCGACGGCCATCTCAGCCTCAGTCCGCTGGAGGTCGTGGTAAGGCGAAGTCGCCGAGTGGTGGGTCGCCGGCCCCGCGGCGCCCTCGTGCGTCTGGCGCGACTTGATGGTCGCGTTGCGCTTGCTGCACTGCGAGCCGAAGGGGCACTTCGCACCGTGCGTAGTCCACGCCGAGCTCTCGTTGTCGGGCTCTGCCGCTGCCGCGGCCCCTGCTGTCGGGTCGGGCGCGGAGGCGGCCGGCGTGGCGACGGCGGAGAGGGCGGCGGGCGACCTGGGCGCGGGTCGAGCCAAGACGCCCATGGTGCAAAAGCGGCGCTGCAGGGGGAGGGGTAGGAGGAGGGGGGGGGGGGGGAGGAGGAGGGAGGAGGAGGAGGAGGAGGAGGAGGAGGAGGAGGAGGAGGAGGAGGAGGAGGAGGAGGAGGAGGAGGAGGGGGAGGAGGGGGAGGAGGGGGTTTGGGGTGGGGCAGGCGGGGCACTGCGAGCCTATATGGGTTTAGACGCCTGTGGTGCATGCTCGCACAACGTACGACGAGGTACCGGACGCGCGCGCAATGACGCGCGCGGGCGGATATCCCGCCATGGCGGTTGAGCCGCCGAAGGAGTGAGGGTCATTTTCCAGGCGCCACGTCGCACGTCACAAGAAGCGCCGCTGCTCGCTGGCGTCCCGTGGATAGGTCGCCCGCCGATGAGGCCTGCGGTGCGGTGGCGGCGTGCTAGGCGCTGGACGCTTGGAGGTGGGCATGAGGGCGGCCTTGCCTTGGCGCGCGCCCTTGCCCTTGTCCTTGTCCTGTGTCCGCTTCCTGGTGGGTGCCCTTGTCATTGCCTGAGCCCTCGCCCTTGCCTTTGCCTGAGCCCTTGCTCTTGCCCTCGGCGGCCTCCCCGTCCGAGCCCTTGCGAATGTCCGTGCTCGGGAACTTCGAAGCCATGGGACGCGCGATCGGCATGGGGGTGAACGGCATCATCTTGGGCGCCGGCGGGCGCGCCTTGCTTGTCGGCGGCGCGACCTTCGGCGGCGCCATCCTTGGATGGGAGGCCATCGGGGGGCCGACCGACAGCGTGCGCGCGATCCTCTTGGACATGCTCGCGCGAGCGGCCTTGTCCTCGCGGAGTGCCTGGGCGCCGCGCTCCCTGCCGAATTTCGCCGCGAAGCTTTCTAGCCGCGAGCTGCGGCGTTTGTTCTCGTCTTCGAGGAACGCTTGCGCGCCGCGCCCCTTGCCGTGCTGACTGAGCCGCGAGCTCGGCTGGCCGCGCGCCGCGGCCGCCGCGGGGGCCCCATCCGACCGCGGCTCCCCCTCCAGGCTTGGCCCCTCCAGGCGTTTGCCCCCCCTCTGGAGCGGGCCAGGGGGGCCCCGCTGCTTGAACTTCATGTGGCATTTGAACTCGAAGATCAACGTCTTCTCGACGTTGATGACGGCGGTGTCGTTCCAATCCACGGCGCGCGGGTTCGTGGCCATGAGCAGGGCGATCCGAGCGAAGTCGTGGTCCCTGACCATCAAGTTTATGATGCGGTCTGGCGCGCCTTCGGGAAGGGCGTGCTCGTCCGCGTCGACTGCCCCGCCATCCAGGGCGCCGTCGACAGCGCGGTTCAGGGCAGCAAGGTCGACCTCGGATCGGCCGGCCTCGGAACTGCAGACCTCCACCTCCGGGGTCGCCGACGCAGCGGTTCTCGAAGCAGCAGCGGGCTCCTCTAGCGGGTTCTCGCGGACAGTCACCACGTGGCCACTTTCCTCGGGCGCTTTCCTGAGGCAGCCGATGACATGCGTCCGTTTAACGTCCATCCTGCCGAACAGCATTGTCGGCCTCTTCGAAGAAGCTCTGGAGGTCTTCGAAGGCGGACTTCCGCGGCGCCGCCGTGGCGTCCTCGCGAGCCCGTCGCGCGCGCAGCCCTGGCTCGAATGGCTATGACATCTCGGCGCAAACGTCTGAACTTCCCTACCCGCAGCCCCACCTCGAAAAACTATGCCCCGGCTCCTTGCCCGCCAGCCCGCCTCGAACTATAAAACAACCGTCCCTCTGACCCCTGCTCGCGCGCCCCCCTCCGACTCCTGCTCGTCCCGACCTTCCGACTCCTGCTCGGACCTCCTCGGCATTCTGCCTCGAACGACGAACGACCACGTGGCGCAATTTGCAAGCGCATCGGATGATCCGCTGACACATTGCCGCAATAGCGGTTCGAGTTCACCGAACATCGCCGTGGAAAGCGGGCTCTATCACGAGCTCGCGCAACGCGCGCCAGGAAAAGAAACTCAACGCCGATGCCATCCGTGGCACTGCCCACGTCATGGCAAAGTGCTCTCGCCGGAGGCCACCCGTCGGCGTGGCTGAGTTGGCGTGCGCGATTGCACTCGCGCCGGCGGCTGCGCGTAGCAGTCGCCCCCCTCGCTTGTCGACCAACGGGCGTTTGTTGACCCATGTCTGGGCAGCCTTCCTGGGGGCCTCCTTTGCGCAGCCTGTGTTCGGGCTCCGCTTGGGCGCCTTGGTCGAGCCGGGCCCCCTCCAGTAGTGCGCGACGCACTGGTTGCGCGTGTTCTCGACGCTGATTTTGGTCACCGCCGCAGGCTTGCCAACGAGGGCTGACGCTGGCTTCCTTGCTCACTTCTTGGGCGTGGCGTTGGCATTGTCCTTGGCCTTGTCCTTGGCCTTGGCCTTGCTCTCCTTCTCCTGCTGCGTGGCAGCTTGCGCCTGCGTTGCCGCGTGCCCCGCCGGGCGCGTCTCCTTCTCTTCCTTCGCCTTCGCGGCCTCTCCCTATGAGGCATCCGCCGAGCGGGCGTCCTCGAGGGCGAACTTTTGGGGCTGAGGCTGCGACGGCGGTTGCTTTTGCTGCTGTTGTAGCTGCTCCTGAAGCTGCTTGACCTGCAGCTGCAGGTTGTGATTCTGCTGTTCCTGCTGCTGCAGGCGCTGCTGCTGGAAGTCCGTCATCGCGAGCTGCCCCGTGGCCGCCGTCGCCGCCGCCTGCGCGCCAGCGAGGCTGCGCGGCTGCTGCGCGCTGACGAAGACGAGGGCGGGCCCCTCTCCCGCCGCTTGAACGACTTAGCCGCGACAGAGACGTCGAGGGCGCCGTCGCCGCGCGCAGCAACCGACGTGGGGGAGGGGAACGCAGCGCGGAACGCGTTGGGGTTTGCGGGGGGCGCGGGCACCTTCTTCAAATGCTCTGCCTGTCCGTGCCCTTCCAGATCAGTTGGATATGGTCGAGGGCATCCTTCGAGGAGCAGGCGCCTCTATGGCGCGAGCCCTCGGGGCACCTTCTACGCGCGTTACCGCGGCGCCAGTCGCGTGCGCGACGGTGCCTTCTGACGGGCTCTTGAGGCCCAGCTTCGACGAGACGAGCGAGAGAACGGCGCGGGCCTTGCGCAGCGTGTCACGGCTGGGCGCGTTGAGCGCAGCCCGCGCCTCATCACTCAAGAAGTGCGGGGAACGTTCGAAGTCCTGCGGCTTCTACGGCCCGCCGACGCCGCTCGTGGCTACCGTGGCCAAGGCATCCTGCAACAGCTGGGCGTCGGCAGGCGCGAAGCCGCTTTGCTGCGCCAGCCCCGCGAGGCGAGCGAACAACTGGCCCTGCGGGCGCGCCCCTCCGACGGGCCCGGCCAGCCGAGCAGCCTGCGCACTCGACGCCTGCCTCCGCGCGGCCTCTCCCCGGGCCGAGGCGGCGCGCAGTGAGGGGCCCGCCCCGTCGGCGCTCTGAAGGAGCTCCCGCTGGAACGCCATGGGCGGTCGGGGCGAGGTGGGGGAGCGATGCGGGTGATCCGCCGAAGCGAGAACCGGCGGTTAATCCGCCGCAGAGGATGATGGTCCGCCGAGTAGAAGGGGGGAACGCGGCTGATCCGCAAAATGGAGGGGGGGCGCGGTTGAGCCGCAGCGGGGCGGGAGGGGTGTTGCGGCTGATCCGCCGAATCGGGCGTTTGATCCGCCGAGAAGAGCCAGGGAAAGGAAGGGGAAGGCGATTGGTCCGCCGAAAAATGCAGGAGAGGGGGCGAGGGGGAATAAGTATGAGAAGGAAGGCGGATAACCCGCCGAAGATGGAGACCATAATGAGGAGGAGGAGGAAGAGGAGGAGGATGATTAGTTTTTTTCTTTGCCGCGCCTCAACAGCGAACAGCGGTGTCGTCCACAGCCCGCGCCCAGGAAACAAACCTTATGCGCAAACGTCGCAGACCTGGCCAGACAGCGACTCGAGCGACAATCCTGGCACCAGAGCAAGAAATGAACAAACGACCCCAGACATCGACTTTTTCAACTTTTTAAGTTCAGTAATAAGTATGTGCAGGTGCGCGGTTAAGTGGGCTAATTGCAACTTGTTATCCCACCTAAATGTATTTATTATTGGCCTTTATGTTGACTGCAGGTGCTATAAACAACAATGACTTTCTCAGCCATCCCAGCAGCGCGGGAGGGGCGGGGGGCGGCGAGGCGCGCCCGGGTGAGGACGAGGTGGCAGTCGCGGCGATGAAGCGCCTGCCAGACGACGGCGCCGAGGTGGAGCTCCGCGAGATCGCCCCGGGCCTCGACGACGGCCGGATCTACCTAGCCGCGGCAGAGCAAGGTATCCAGGTGCGCGTCTTCGCACTCCTGGACTGCTATGGTTGGGGGCAAGGCCTATGGGGGGCAAACCCGAGGTGGTCGCCCCCGCCCGGCGCATCCCCGCCCCCCGCGGAGGCAAGCGCGCGAGGCGCGGCGGAGCAACCCTTCCAGGCGGAACGGGGCCCCAGCGAAAAGGAGGCGCGCGGACAGGGGGGCGGCCCGCGCGGGCCCCCGCCAGCCGCGCCTGGGGCGGGAGCGGGCCAGGTGGTGAGCGGAGAGCCGCCGCGCCCGAGACGCACGATGCCCGCGGGTTTTCTTGGGTTCCCAAGCCTCCATAATGCTTTGGGGGCATGCCCCATTTGGAAACTCGAGAGTCGGCAGCGCCGGCTCGTTGACGACAGGCTGGAGCTCCTCCTCGGGTCCATGCCTGGGGTGGGAGAGGGTACCAGCCCTCATGTCCATGGAGCTCATCCGCTTCTATGAGTCTGCTGAAGCTGATGGACAGTCGGAGTGCCCTCGCGGAGGCTATCCGTGTCAACGAGGGGCCAGGGGGCCGTGTGCTCCCCGCCAGCAGCCCCGCGCCTGGGCCAATGCGGGAGGGCGCCCCGCCCGCGCATGATCAAGCCCCGATAGAGATCCCGCGGAGGGCGTTCGGTCGGCGCCAAGCACCCCGCGCGCGGAGGAGGCGGCGTCTCCAGGGTCGCCAGGGGAGCCCCGCGCGGCGGCCCTGAGGACGATGGGGGAGCAGGGGGGCCAGCGGGCGGAGAACCCGCCGCGTGGGCCCCAGCCCAGAGGAGGCCCCTTTGCAGGGGCGCATCAACGGCGAGGGGGCGCCGCCAGGATCCGAAGGGCCCGAGTCCCGGAGGTCCTCGGTCTCCTCTTCCCGCTTGTCTTCGAGCTCGGCGGCCATGGGGGATGGATAGGATTGGGGAAAGATCGTGGATTGGGTGCCATATATGCGCGGAGCGCGGTGGTTGACCAGCCAGAGGTTCCCGGTCGGCCGTGCATGCCGGGAGACCCGATCCCGGCTGCCTGGAGTGAGCTCCCTGACATGCCCGCGATCGCCTGCTCATGGGTGGAGGTGCCAAGGCCCTTTTCGGAGTGGCTCGACGGGGTCGCTCGGACGGAAAGAGGGGACTGGGCGGAGGCGCGGGCGGTGGAGGAAGTCGAGGCGGGAGACGCGATAAGGGTGAGCTACCACCGCGGGCTCATGCTCGTCCTCTCCCTCGGCGGGGCGGAAAACGCAAGCAGCTCGGAGATCCGCCGGGTGCAGCAGGTCGTCGACTGCCAGAGGCAGAGGAGGGGGGCCCCCACCAACGGCGCACCTGGACGCCAGGGCCGCCAATCGGCTGGCTTTCAGCTGGCGAGGGAGAGCGGAGCCAAGACAGGCCAGGGGAGGAAGCGAAAACCTGGGCTGCTTCCTGGCATGCCACCTGGGGTGAAGGATGGTGGGAAGGAGGGGCGCCAGACCCCCCCCGCGGCCCAGCGTGGGGGAGTGGTGCTCGGCAGGGCCCATCCTGGGGTGCCTGCGGACTGAGGGGGCCTTCCCTCGCATGCTCTGCTCTGTTTGCCGCCCTTGGGCGGCCTTGCTGCTGGCCCAGGGAGAGGGATGGGCTCCCTAAGTGGATCTCCCCCTCATCTTGTCCGGAGCGCGCGGAGGGAGCTTTGGGGGGGGCACCTGTGGTGTTGGGCGGGTTGCCCGAAGAGGCTGAGTTTGGCTTTTCGCCATCAGAGATGGGTGCCCTCAGCTCTCCCTCCGCCTTCCTTCGGATCGTGCGCGAGCTGCCGGGGGGATCTGGTTTCGTTTGCCTTAAACGGAAGGATTCCCCCCTTCCTCGCTGGGCGCTCTATCCTCTCCTTTCCTTTTCTCCGCAGCCATCGAGGTTTTGAGCTGCTGCTTTTTCCTCCCCCCACTCAGTTTTCTCGCTGAACCACGGCGCGGGCGGGTTGCCCGAAGAGTCTGAACTCGGTCGGCTTTTCGCCACTAGAAATGGGTGCCCTCAACTCTCCCTCCGCCCTCCTTCGGATCGTGCGCGAGTTGCTGGGGGGAGTCTTTCACTTGTCGAGCCACATGTGCGATTTTTCCTGGAAGCCGCCTGGAGAGCAGCGGTGCGTATTTCGGTGGGCAGGCGGGTCCCCGACGCAAGTCTTTGACGCAAGAGTCGACTGGAAAGGCTCAGGATGTTGAGAGTCAATGTTTTTTTTTTGATGCCGAGACGCATGCGGCTACCTCGCCTGCACTTTCGTGAGGATTTCACGTGTTTGCTACTTCAGAACCCGCTGCGGGCACGATATGGACGCGTATTCGACTTCAACATATGTCCAGAGTCTCTTCGCGGGACTGCGTGTCCGTGTTCGCGCCCTTCATATCAATATTTGCTCTCAGGAGGTGGCATGCATGCAGTTTTGAAGCGTTGGAGGATGATGCTGTGATCGACTCGCCCTGTACATCTTGCCGTGCTCTCAAGGTGGGTTGGGCTCATTGTGTACTCGGGTGGTCGGGTCGGACGGGGTGGACCTTGGGCGGTTTGGTCGGGCTGGGCGGACCCATATGCGAGCTGTTGTGTCGGGCCGGGCGGACGTTACGTCAGGCGGTCGGGTCGCTTCGGGCGGGCCTTCGGCTCGGGTCGGGTGGGCCCGAAGTCGTGCGGTCGGGTCGGGTCTGCAGGCTCTGTCAGGTCGGCGGCGGGTGCCGTGGCGTGATTACCGCGCCAGGGGCGTCATGCCAGGAGTTCAGCACGTGCTTTGCTGTGCCGTACCGTGGTCATCGGGCCGCGGGCGCAATGTTGTGGCCGCCATGCTGCGAGGAAGTGGAGATGGCATTGCCAACCACCTGGATGCAGTCAATGCAGTCGTCGTGGCCATACTCATCGGGTAAACTATACTTCAACATTACCGATGCTTCACGTGTTCGCACCAACCCATCCATATCTGGGCAAGCTTCGGGTACAACGGGTGGCAGAGCAGGATGTATGAAACAAATAAACGGTACGCCAGTCAAATCAAAGAGCAGGTCCCAATCATTGCCAATTTTTGACGTCCTCAGGACGCCTGCCGGGGTCGTACTGCGGTTCTCTTTTGTCATGCTGGGGCCTTTTCGGGTCTTCCTTGGGGCATCTTGGAGGCAGCCGACTGTAAATGGGTGCGGCATTAATCATCGCTGCCTGCTTGGAGCGAGCCGCACTGCATCTTGGGGCCTCTTGGGATTTTCTCAACGACCTCCTCGGGACCTTGGGGCTCTCTCAGGGTCTTCCTGGGCCTCTCACGGGATTCTCTAGGGACATCGCCCACTGGAAGCTAAAAAGGTGGACATAGTCAAACATGATGCTGTTTGTCTGGCTTTGGCTTCTCGGGGGCATTGTTGGGAGGCTCGAGGGTCACACCTCCGATCCATTTTGCAGTCTTTTGGGGGCCTTGTTGAACCACGCAGGAAGCGCTCTGTGCCAACTTGGGGCATTTTGCACAATCTTTGATATCTTCGGCCAGCTTGGAGGTCGTCGGGAGCAATCGTGGCTATCTTGGAGCCATCTTGGGCTACCTTGAACGCTTGAACTTCGGCGGCCCCCATTGTCCAGGCCCTCGGGGTGGGCGAGGGTGGAGGGTCCCCCCCTGGGTGGTTTTGTCACAGCGGATGCTCTAAACCAACTGTGTCCGGAAGGCTGGTGGGACTTCCCACCTCCCCTGCCCCCTCGCCCTCCCCCTGCCCTTCCATTCCTCCCCCGCTCCCCTCCCCATAATCACCCTCTTCCTCCACGGGATCTCCAGGCGCGTGCTGCTTCGGACTTGGTGGCGGAGTGATATCGTACATTCGTTTGCCGTCACCTACGGCGCCTGAGGGCTTCGCCTCCGACCCCTGTCTGATCACGCTTTTCCTACTTGCTGCCTGGGCCTGATCTGTCCTGCTGCGGAGCGACATGTAGCTTCGGATCAGCGCAGTAAGTGTCTCTACGCGTCCCAGGCAATATACCCTCCCCCTCCGTCGTTCGTCGTCGTCGTCGTCGCCGTCGTCGTCGTCGTCGTCGTCGTCGTCGTCGTCGTCGTCGTTCTCGTCGTTCTCGTCGTCGTCGTTCGTTCTTGTCATCGGTGTTGACGCCCTCCGTCGTCTGAGTGTCTGCGCGCGTCTGCGAGGAGTTCGCGGTGGCGCAGTACCTCGGAAGCCCCGGCCCGCAGTGTCTCGACAGTGTGTG